TGAAAAAAGCCGGAAGTGGCGCTATGGCTCAAGTGGTAGAGTGCTAGCCTTGAGCTGAAGAGCTGAGGGACAACGCCCAGGCCCAGAGTTCAGACCCCACGACCGGACCCAAAAAAAAAAAAAAAACAACTTAGGGAGGGGCCCTAAGGTAGGATGTAGGAAACATTGAGGAAAGCTGGATGGTGTCTTGAGGGGTCCTTGCTTAGGGGGACACTAAGCCTTTCAGAAGCTGCCCCTGTGTCCTGTTAGTGCCATGAGCTTGTTCATGGAGCTCACATGATAGTTGTCATGAAGAAGGAAAAGGAGTTTTAATGATTATGACCATCTTGCATTTCTGCTCCAAGTCTTCATTCACTGCTACCTTTATACCTTTTATCCAGCTTCTCTGAGAGTTCTAGAGCAGTGCAATTACAGAACAGGTGATGGCCTTGGCCAAGGTTGTCTTCTCCCTTCCGATCCCTTTCCAGAAGGGGTGATAGAACCCTAGAGATGTTCACTGTCGTGTCTAGAGCTCCCCCTTCCCCTTTCCCTTCCAGTCCATAATAGCAGCCTCTGATGAAGGCCTTGAAGCTCAACCAGGTCTGCTTTTGTAAACCTGAGTAGAAAGGGACAGCCTCTACACTCCCTTGGGCCCCAGGGTGTCCCGGGGCACCCCCACTAGAGGCAGCACTGTGGCAGGTGATGGTTTAGGGTGGTCCTAGAGGCACCCCACATTTTGTATTCTTCCTCACTTTCACCTGCTCTGCATTTGAACAGAAATGGCTCTGTCCAGCCTTGCTCGGTGGGGATGGCTCTTGTCCTTAGGAAAATACAAACCTGTGAGCTGGCTTACTGTTCTTGCATTTAGATTGAGGGAGAAAAGTGGTGGGAAAACTTTGTCTTATGTCCATGTCGCTCATATTCCATGGGGGAGCCCTGTCGCTGCTGAGAGGTGTGCCAGGACCTGCAGAGCCACCATTCCCACAGAAGGCACTTAGCTCCCAGTAAAGCTGAGAACTTACTGCCCCATAGGTGATTCAGCCCTCCAAAATAGCCACACAGTCCACACTGGCCTTGAGTGCTCTATGTAGTGAGTCTAGTGCTTGCTTACCATTGGCATTCCTAAGTGTTGTCTTAGTACTTAGCAGGCTAAGGCAGGAGGCTCACAAGCTTGAAGTCAGCTTGGGCTGTCCAGCAAAATCCTATCTCAACAGCAGCAAAAGAATTGGTCTCTACCCTGTTGTCCTGTAGTATGCTGATTAAAGTTGAGTCCCTTGACCTGGCATGACCAAAGACAGGGCTTCTTTCCTTTACCATGGCAGTATGTCTTTATAAGGAGAACCCACCCCATCTTCATCTGACAAAATAGTTTGCGTTCTCTGTGGACACCACTGAGAATGGAGGAAATTAGCCATAACCATGTGGGGAACTCATTGTAGAAGGGAAGTCACGTCCTGAAGCAGGAAAGCAGGAGAACCACCAGCTCTGGGAAGCAGTTTCATCTGGAAATTTGGCCCTGAGGCTTCAGAGAGGAAACACCCTCCCTACTGTTCCAGGAAGCAGGAGGAGGTGGCAATGTGGTGTTTACTTTAAATGCCTGCCAATACTGGGGACATTGTACCTCCACTTAACTGCGTGGTCGCTGTCAGCAACACATCCTTATAAACTACTCACAGAGGCCAAGTGGTGTTCTAATGTAGCCAGAAGATGAGGTTTGGGCTGGGTGTTGGCTGGGAAAGCCACCTAGTAAAGTTAGAACACCTTTTTGATTTTTCCTTTCTTAGTAGAGTCAGATAAATTGAAGACTACCCATGAGAGGGCCCAAAGGAAAGAATAAGGTCCAAGGGTCCCTAAGCAAGCAGGAATTCTTCTCAAGCTTTGGAGCCTTCAGCCACTGAGGAGATGAACTGTCTGCTGGTCCAGGACAAATCCAAGATGCAGGAAGTCCTGCAGTCACAGACTGAGTCCTTTCCTTTAAGACTAGGCATTTCTAAAATCCAGTACCCTGGACATTTTGTAGCTAGCTGTCTGTTAGTATGTCTGACTATGAGGCCTCTTGTTGCCAAGCCCAAGGACAGGGTGTGAGCAAGTGACTCTGGTCATTTCTTGGATGCCAGTTGTGCTAGTCAACTTCCTGTTAGTGTGATTTTTTTTAAATACCTGAGATTATAAGCTTCTAAGAAGGAAGGATGTATTTTGGCTCAGCCTCAGAGGCTTCAGTGCATGATCATGTTGTCTTTGGGCCAGTGGCAAGGCAGAATGCCATGGTAGGGGTGCCTGGTGGAGGAGCTCACTCCCTCATGACAACCAGGAAGCAGAGAATATCAGGAAGGTGCCACTTCCTCCCAGTATAATCCCAGCTTCCCCTCACCAGAGCTCTGCTGAGACAGCCCCTCTCGGGTGCAGCCCTCCTCCCCACCAGGAATAAACACCGTTGGGGGCATCTCTGTACCCCACAGCATGGAAAGAGGATTCAGTGTTGAATCTGATGACCAAAGGGACAGTACAGAGATTACCATTTTGGAAAAAGTCACATTGACATTGAGGTACATAATAACATTTTGTTTTGTTTTTGTTGTGATTGTTACTTTTGTGCTGGTCCTGAGGCTTGAACTCAGGGCCTGGGCGTTGTTCTTTACCTTTTTTATTTTATGCATAAGACTAGTAGTCAACCACATGAACCACAGCTCCATATCCCAATGAGATAGCAGCCCCCAAGATGGAATCCTCCGTGTTATGGATGTAAAGACTAGTCCTGTTGTGTGTGTGTGTGTGTATGTGTGTGTGTGTATGCACGCGTGCACACACACAAACACATGCATGTGAGTGTACACCTGTAAGTGCATGTGCTCTGGTAGTGGGGCTTGAAGTGAGGGCCTGGGTGCTCTCCTTTAGCTTTTATCAAGACTCTACCACTTGAGCCACAGATCCACATCTGGCTTTTTGTGGTTAACTGGAGATAAGAATCTCACTGGCTTTCCTGCCCAGGCTGGCTTTGAACTGCAATCCTCTGATCTCAGTCTCCTGAGTAGCTAGGATTACAGGCATGAATCATAGTGCCCGGCTTCCCCTTGGCTTTTCACACTCACTAGTCAGTGGGCCTTGTGCTCTGTGCCAGGCAGGGATTTATAGAGGTGGCTCAGGCACCTGCTGGAGTTCAGGCACTGGGAACTCACTGTGAATGCTCTCCCTTTCCTTCCCCTCCCCATGCCTGCTCTCACTCACTCCAAGAATCCCAGCATTTAACCCCAGCTTCCTTCCTACCGAGTGAGCAATGTGGGAGTCAAGACTAGACTTTCAGAGCCTGGTCTCCTCTGCCCCTGACCTCCAGTCATAGACTGTTCTCAGCACTACCAGCCTCCAGGACAGAGGCAGAGAGATAAACTGGGCAGCTACTGGGCTTCTCAAACCTTGGCATGCACGGAAGGCTTGTCAGAACATGGATTGCTGGGCCTTGCCTGGAGTTACTGGTCCAGCAGGTCTAGGATGAGGCCAGGGAATTTCTGACAAGTTCTCAGGTAAAGACAATGCTCCCAGTCTCCAGACCACACTAGAAGAAACAAAGGGCAGTGCTCAGAAGGACCCATGGTACCTAGTAGGCAGATGGAGGTGGATCAAGTGTCAGGCAGACACCATACCAGTGATGAGGTGAGAGAAGATGGGTTGTCATGCCTGTAACCGTAGCTACTCAGGAGGCTGAAATAGGATTATGGTTTGAAGCCAGTCTGGGCAAGAACATCCTTGAGACTCTTATCTCCAATTGACCACCAAAAAGCCAGACGTAAAGCTGTGGCCAAAGTGGTACAGCACCATCCTTGAACAGAAAAACTCAGAGACAACACCCAAGCCCTGAGTATAAGCCCTGTAAGACCAGTATACTCTCTCTCTCTCTCTCTCTCTCTCTCTCTCTATCTATCTATCTATCTATCTCTCTGAGAGATGCATACCTCTAATTCCGGAAAGCCTAGAGCAGGAAGGTCTCAAGTTCTAGAGCCAGCCTGCGCGAGCTATGCAGTGAAACCCCACTTCAAAAATACAAATGAAGCAAAGCAAAACCAGCCCCACCTAAAGCATCAACCAAGCAGAATTACCTCAGGAGAGAAATCTGATGAACAACTAGATTTTAGAATCCACTCGAGAGATGTAAGTTGACATAGTAACCAAGGAAGGTTTGGTCAAGAAAGCCTAGTGCTAATTACAGCCTGGAGGCTACACACCCCATCTGTGGGGTATGTGAGGAGAGTGGGATGGGTCCCCTGCTTGTGGGGCATGCCAAGAGAGGACCAGGAGCATGTCTGCCATCAAAGAGGGGCAGTACAGACATTGGGGCTTCTCCTATCAGACAACCCCAGGGACTTGAGAGGACCAGCCTTGAGGCAAACAGTAAAGGGCTAATCTGTGTGTGGGGGGGGGAGTCATCCTCCTTTGTGCAATTTTAGCTGGCCTCAGTGGCATACCTTTCATAGCTCCTGGGCACACTCTGGGACAAGCCTAAGCAGAGTCACACATATCCCATTCATACACAGGGGCATGTGTCCACAACATCACCATGGTGACCCATGACGGGCCTCTGGGCCAAGCTACGGTGTCACATTTTGCCTGTTCTAGACATTGTTTGGAGAAGAGGCAACCCCATGCACTCAGTTAACTTTTTCTCCTTTGGATTTAACACTGGCTCAGACACTTGGGTGCCTTGGAGTCTCTGGCTGCCAGAACATGGATAAGAACACTGAGAAAATCCATCTCTATGAACAAGACAGACAGTGATTTCCAGGAATAAGACAGAGAACCTGTAATTTCATAGATGACTATTTGTGATGTTACTTTAGTCATATGGATTGTTCCTTGTTTTGTTTTTTCTTTGTTAACTTTCATTTGCAAGCCCTGATTTGTTGAGAACACAAAGATCAAGTTCAACAAGTCTTGGATAGTGTGTGATTGAGTGACAATGTCTGACTTCCATGGCTGTTCTGTACCGGGACGTGCACATGCTGACTTGTTCTCTCTGTCTCTCTTTGCAGTTCTGCACTGAGCTAAACCAGCCGACCCTGCCTGCCATCCGTAGGTGGAAAGGGCCCCGGGGAAGCTGGAGGTCTGTTGTCTCTGAGAAGCCTTCCAGCCAGCTCCAGAAGGTACCTACCTCCCACCCCTGCCTACCTGCCCTTGCATTTCATTTAACACTTCCCCCAATGAAGAGATTGTGTGTGTGTGTGTGTGTGTGTGTGTGTGTGTGTGTGTGTGTGTGTGTGTGTGTGTGTGTACTAGCCCGGGGCTTGAACTCAGGGCCTGAGCACTATCCTTGAGGTTTTTGCTCAAGGCTAGAGGAGCCTTGGTGGTTAATTTGGTGGTTAATTGCATATAAGAGATCCATGAACTTTCCAGCCCAGACTGGCTTGGAGACATGATCCTCAGATCTCAGTCTCCTGAATAGCTTAGGATTATAATCACAAGCCACCAGTGCCCTCTCCCTTTTCAATTTCTGAAGGAAGGATTCCTAGTGTCCACCATGATTGGCTGTCCTTGGTGGACATGGACTCTCACTGGTTTTTCTGCCCAGGCTAGCCTCAAACCTGTAGCCTCCCATCTCTACCTCCCGTGTACAATCAATTTATAACTAGCCCGGTGCTCACCCCTCTTGGTCCTCATAGAAATAATGATTCCACTTAACTTTTTTTTTTGCAGTATTGGGGTTTGAACTCAAGGCCTTGCCCTTGCTCAGCTTACTTGCTAGAGCCAGGCCTCTCAGGTAGATTTTTGCTGATTATTTTGGAGCTGGAGTCTAATTGACTTTTCTGCCCAGGATGGCTTTGAACTGCCATCCTTAGGATCATCTCAGCCTTCTGAGTAGCTAGGATTATGAGTAGCAGGGCAGGTAGGAGCTGGGACTGGGGGTGTTGGCTGAGGTGCAGGCTGGATACCTCAGGGGCAGAAGCAGCAGCACAAACAGATTCGGAGCAGGCTGATAGCCTTAGCAGGGCCAACAGCATTAGCCTAGTACTCTGTTCATAACACCCCCAAAGCTGTCTGTCCCACTCAGAACTCCAGCTTCCGGCCTCTGTGCAGAGGACCATTGGCCAGGCCCAATGCCTGGCCATTTATCCAGCAAATATGGATCTTGAGTTTTACTGGGTTCCTGGTGCCACTATGCTTAAATAGAAATTGGCAAGCAAAACGGTGGGATTTAGGAAAGCTACTTAACTTCTCTGAGCAAATGGGGGGATAAAGTGCTACCTCGTGGCCTGGGATGATAGTGGAGCCCACTCTAGGCTCTCCCCACATACAGGGAGGAGCCCAGCCATCCTGACCATGTGCATGCCTGGCTGAGCAGTCCCTTTACGGCCCCCCTGCTGTGGTCTCTCCTGCCCTTGCCCCATGCCACATCACTGGAGTTCTCCGTGTTCTTCTTCCCACAGGGGCCTGGGTACTCAGGATTCCTGTGGGATGCTGCAGCCGGGGTGGAGCTCAGAGAGGCCGCCTCACAGGACGACTCACCCAGCAATGGGCACGGGAAGTGCCCAGGCCCCAGCCCATACCTTGCAAGGTTCAAGGTACCCAGTGCACACCTTCTCATGATGGAGCAGGGCAGATAGAACTAGGGTTTTGTTTTTATTTTATTCTCTCTGGATCAGGTCGGACACACTTCCTGGAGCTTTCTTGGCAGGTGACCTTGTCCAAGGCAACAGTGGCAGACCTTGACTCAGCAGGAAAACTAGACTTCTGAGTGAGGAGGAGGAGGAGGAGGAGAAGCCAAGTGTGGAGATGTACACCTGTAGTCTTAGCTGCCCAAGAAGCTGGGGCAGGAGGATTGCTTGACTCAGGAGTTAAAGGCCAACTTAGGCAACAGTGAATGAAAGAATGAGTGAAAGTAAATAGAAGGATGAGGGAGGAGACAGAAGATCGGATAACTGGTTCCCAAACCCAGCACACAGCACCCCAGTCAGAGTTTCTGCGCTGATGCCTAGACTGTTTTTCAAAAATGCCCCCAGTCTCTCCTCAGCCTGCCCAGCACTGGTAATAGAAGCTTGGCATTACAAATGGCTGGGTTGGGGGCAGCAGGGGTGGCTCCCAGGAGCCCTTTCTCAGATGCTGCTACTTCCCAGGAGAAGGGGCCCATGGAGGGACCCTCAAATCTGAAGGGGGACCCAGAGGGAGCTCTGGCCCGAAGCGCTCTGACCCTGTCACTGGGTCAGAAATGCCCTTGCCCTCTGTGTCACCTGAGACCAGGAGCAGCCGAGCAAGTCCTTAAACCCCACCTAGCTCACAGGTGGTCCCTTGAGACCTTGTGATTCCATGGAGCCTGAACCCCAGCATTGCTCATCCTGGCCGGAGGCAGGGCTGGCACGGGTCCTGCCTGTCACCTGGCGCTGTCCAGCGAGGATGGGTGTGTGCCCATGCATGGGGCACCTGTGGCATCTGTTTCTCCTCTCAGGCCCTGCCTACACACTGGTGGGTTTCTGTCTGCCATGTGTACTGGTGGCATTGACTAGTGATTCAGCTGCTGCTATCTTTTTTTTTTCCTTTTGCCAGTCCTGGAACTTGAACTCAGGGCCTAGGTGCTGTCCCTGAGCTCTTTCACTCAAGGCTAGTACTCTACCACTTAGAACTACAGCATCATTTCTGGTTTTCTGGTGGTTAATTGGAGATAAGAATCTCCTAGAGGGCTGGGAAGGTGGCTCAGTGGTAGAGCACTTGCCTTGCATGCATGAGGCCCTGGGTTCGATTCCTCAGCATCACATAAGCAAAAAGAAAAAAGTCGGAAGTGGCGCTGTGGCTCAAGTGGTAGAGCACTAGCCTTGAGCTGAAGAGCTGAGGGACAGTGTCCAGGCCCAGAGTTCAGGCCCCACGACTGGACCACCCCCCCAAAAAATCTCCTGGACTAGCCTGCCCAGACTGAGTTTGAACCATGATCCTATCTCAGTCCCCTGAGTAGCTAGGATTACAGATGTGAGCCACCAGTGCCTGGTAGCCATGGTCATCTTTAAAACCTCTCATACCATCCTGGCCCCTTCCTGTTTTTCACTGGTAACTTCCAGCCCTGGCATGTGTCTGAGCCATGATCCACCTATTTTGTTTTTGGGCTTTTAAGATTGTCTCACCCTGCAGCCAAGGTTGGCCTAGATGCCACCATCCTCCTGCCTTAGTCTCCTGAGTGCTGGGATTACAGACATGCACCACCATACCCAGCAAGGCAAGCTGCTTCAGTGAGCTCATGAGCAAATGCTACAATGTCATGATTGGTCAGAATTCTCTGAAACAGTCCAGGAGGTCAGTGGGCCTTGCATACTTCAGGTCACATGCTAACCTATGCAAGAGGTGTGGACAGTTTTGAGGTGGTTTCTCTGCTGGTCACAACCTCCACTGGAAAGCTATCAGTCCTGACCATACTAATCTCCAACACAAGCGAAACAGGAATGTCTTCCCCTCCTGAGGGCTTTTCCTTCCCTTCTTAGCAATGTTTAATCTTTGTTACCATGACACAGAGAAGGGCAGATTGCCCAACTGAGCAGCTGAGCGATGCTGAAATGGCTCAGAAGATCTACCACATTGTCCATCCATGGCTGCAGACCACAATCTACATGTGCCCACCCCCTCAAGCTACAGGCAGGCCCCAGCGTACGTCCTGCTGACCTCCTGGGCAAGCCTGGGGGTTTTATGCATCTGAAGTCAGCTTAAAGCAAGCTTCTAGACAGAGTGGGCTCCAGAGGCTCAAGACTCAGAGGAGAGCCATGGGATGTATGTGGGGCCGGTAGAAAGGGGTCATGGCTCCTGTCCATCTGAGCTGGAGACCTTCAGGCTACCAGTGGATAAAGCCATTGCAACACATCCTTCTCCCATAGAGTTCTTAATTTTGTTTGTCCTTTTCTTTTCTTTTTCTTTTTGTACTAGTACTGGGGTTTGAACTCAAGACCTCAAGTTCTCACGTGGCTTTTTTGCTCAAGAATGGCACTCTTACCACTTGAGCCATGGCTCCACTTCTACCTTTTTTTTTTTTGCTGGTTGATTGGAGGGAAGAGTCTCTTGGACCTTTCTCAGATCTCAGCCTCCTGAGTAGTAGCTACACTTCTGGCATTGGCTCACCTGATTGTTTACAAGGACAATAAAGAAGCAAACAAAAACCTGACCCAATGAGAGGAGTATGCTTCTGAAGTCCTGAGGAGCAGTGGGGGTGGGATGTTTAGCGTTAGCACCGGGCTAGGTATATGTGGGTAGAAAGGGATCCAGAAATGGGGTATTTGAGCCTTTTCTTTTGTTTCTTTATGCCCAGGTGGGAAGTCATGACTTGAGCCTTGTGAACCTGCACCTGGCGGCTCTCCCAGGCGGGGAGAATTCCAGCAAAAACCACAGCGACAGCCCCCGGGTGGCGAGCTGTGTCCACACCCTCCAGGAGACCCTGAAAGGTAGGCTGTTGTGTTTTGTGACTGGAGACACCGGATTCTTCTTCCCATCCATGTCTCAGGCCACTTCGGCTGGCCACGGGTCAGCAGTCACGGGGATGGGGGACCGGTCACACCCTCTGTACCTCATGGAGCCTGGAGGACCCCACACATGATCCTGTCTTGGTCTCTGAGAACTTCTCTGTGATTTCCAAGGTGTTGTATTGTCTTGGTGGCTTTTCAGGCCTCAACCTCAATTTTAAGGAAGTCTTCTTGTCTACCTACACGTTAACTCAACCCCTATTTACCAAGTGCCTATCTGTGCACAAGCCCTGTCCCAAGGGCTAGGTAAATACTGTTGAGCGGCAGCCGCTGCCCTCTGGCCTGTGGTGAGGGGCTCTGGATCCCTGGCCTGGAGGCTCGGACATTCATCTAGAGGTGACAATGGTTCCCGGACATACTATCCAGGAAGTGGTCAGCACGGTGCTGGACTTGCAGTGAGGGCTTGGTGACAGGTCCTGAATGCCAGACAGGTATAGGTTGTTATTCCCGCCTTCATCTTCCTGTGGGAAACTGGCACTACCTCCCCAGGTTGGTGCCAGCTCACCTGATTTGGGGGTTGGCTGTGATCTAGCCTGCCTGTGACTCCTGTCCTGTCCCCAGTGTTCCTGGCCCTGGAGGAGGATGCCATCTGCAGCCCACAAGCGCCCTCTGGTGACATTTCGTGTCACTGCACGCTGCATGTCTCTCCCTCTAGGCTTTCTATCTGGACATGTTTGTGGCAAGGAAAAAGACTGTGGGTGTAGTGATGCGTTTGTGACTTTGTGGACTGCTTTCCTTCAAACCTCCCTGGTAGATTGTGACTCCCTGGGGTCAGGTGACACCCAGGAGGGGCTCTCTTGACAGGAAGGTTCTCCGCTGGGGTCCATGGTTCTTCAGAATCTCTGCTCACCTTGCGTGGGAATACATACCATCCGTGCCACCGCTGCAGTACTCCAAGGAGAAAACTTGTCCGTCATGCCAGTGCTCACTTCAGTTCTTACACATTCACCAAAAGTTCATTTCCTCTGCCGTCTTTTAGCAAATGTTAGCGTATCCGATCTGGAGACTCTCAGGGAAGGAACTGAGCTACCTGTACACCAGCATGGATGGAATGCATTGTCTTGGCTTAAGGCCACCAAACCAAGAGGTGCCAGGGCCCAGCCTTTCCCGAGTTCCCTGCCATGCTGAGTCTGCTCTTCTATGGGCTTCTGTCTCACCATCTGTGACTTTCTGTGGCTACTCTTCCTCCTGGTTGATCTGGACTCATTAACTGAGGAATGAGGGAAAAGGAGACAGCAATATCCCTGCTCTTAAAGAACATGACAGTTGATTGGCTATACTTAAAGTCTTTTTTAAATGTCATGGTAGTGCATCCCTGTAATTCCCATACTCTGGAAGCTAAGGCAGGAAAATTGTAAGCTCTGGGCCATTCTTGCTACACAGCAAGTTTTTGTCTCAAAACAAGTAAACACACTGAATGACTAAAATAAATAAAGCTGGGATGTGATAAATTATATAGGACCCTAGTCATTCACATACAGCGGCCAAAGGAGGCTGTGCATCAGAGCGGTGGACAAAGGCTCAATTGTTATGGACAAAATAATATTCTATGAAATGAACTCCAAGAAAAGGAAACAAACACTCTTTAGATGTCATTGTTGCTGTTTCATTCTCTTTCCATTTTGTCTTGTTTGTTAGTTTGTATGTATTGGGGAGGGCCAGGAAGGGCACATAGAAGGTGGAACAAAGATGAACAAATACAACAGTGATACTCACCAGACACTATGTGGCAAATGAACTGGATATCTTGTGGGTCGGGATGGGAGGGAAAGACTGGGAGAGAGTGACAGAAGGGGGAAAATGGTTCAAAAAAGAATTGTACTGATTGTACCTGATTCATGTAACTGTAACCCCTCTGTATATCAGCTATATAAATACAAAAAATCTTCTTTTTAAAAAAAAGGCAAAACAAAATAAGCGCGGAGCTGGTAATTCATCCTCTGGTTTCAGAGGCTGAGATTGGGAGGCTCACCATGACCCCTTCTTGAGCAATTTCTGGGTGTGGTAGCGCATGCCTGTTATCCCAGCTATGATGGGGAACCTAGAACAGACAGATCACGAACAAACCAGTACATGCCTGGGCAGGAAGCAAGATCCAATCTCAAAAACAACCCGACAACCCGTGACAAAGGGCTGGGGAGGTGCAGGTGTATTGCTCGGCTTGCCTAGTAAGCAAAGACCCTGTGTTCAAATCCAGTATTGCCAGAAACAAGTCAAAGTGAACATAATGTAAGAAATGAAACTGTAGCAAGTATAGTGAATATTTCTTGGAGTCACTCTAGGGAACTTTTGTCGGATTATATTATGCTAAAAGATTAAAGGATAGCTGATCAAAATACTTTGTACCCATTAATGGACAGGCTCCTTATACAACCGTTTGAAGATAATAAAAAAAAAGCGTATGCATGATTCATTTTGGTCATAGACTAAGCAATTGACAATCTAGAAAACAGAACTAGTTCCCATATAAGACAAAGTGACTATTTCTTGAGATATACAGGGTTAGTGTAAGGCAGTGCAAAGAGTACTCGCACTTTATTTTGTCCCTGTTTCTAGTTTCTCTTGGAGCTGCCATAAAAAAAAGAACCAGGGTTCCTGGGTTCTAGGACCCAGACAGAAAAGACACCAGAGACCCTGGCATGGTAGAATTCAGACCCAAATATGGTGGGTGTGCATCCTACATGCAGATTGTCCAACACACAGTGATTGCACATGCAGATCCACTCCCTGGGGTCAAGGTCAGCTTGACTAAACACACTTTAATAATAACCTCATTTTCTTCCTTCCACTTCCAGGAGAAAAAGATGTCATTCTTTTAGGGGATTTTGGCCAAGGACCAGATAGCGCTGATCATGATGTTCTGCGGAGAGAGAAGTTCCATCACTTGATCCCCTCACACACCTTCACCAACATCAGCACCAAGAATCCCCAGGGCTCCAAGGCTCTAGACAACATCTGGGTCAGCAGAGGCTTGAAGAAGGTCTTCACAGGTAAGGCAGAAGTCTTCTGCCCCTGCTTCCTTTGGCTGGCCATGGAGCCGGCACTCCTGACCGAACTCATGGGGATTTTCTTACCTCTATGTGGGCATTTATGGGACTGTTCTTAGGTAATGGCCATATAATTATCATCTGATCAAAGACACTTCTGAGAGTGTGTGGTGGAGTTGATAAAAATTACAAAACACCTATGGCCTATAATGTAGCAAATCAGGTCTATTTCATGCCAGCCTTATTATAGATCATCAGAGAAGAGCTGAAAGGCACATAATAGGCATTCTGCAGATGTTTTTCACTGTCCAGGTACAGTCTTGTAGAGCACACTGTCAGGGTAAAGAGACATCACACAGAGTGCTAGTCAGTTTCCCCACACTGTAACAGGATTGAGACCACGAACTTACAAAGAAGAAAGGTTTCACTTGATCTGGCTGCTTTTAGGTGAGCAATGCATCATGGTAGAAGTACGTGATGGACAAAAGTTGCTCATCTCAAGATAGCCAGGAAGCAGATCAAGGGGTTGACTGAGAGGTAGAAGGGGGAAGAGGCCAGAGCCCTAATATCTTTTTTGAGGACAAGTGAGAACTTGTTCTCTTTTAACTAGGCCCCACCTCCTCAAGTGAGGGAACTTAAATCTAAGATACATACCACATCCTGATAGGAGGACCCCACACAAAGTGGGGGCTAATCTCAGCCCCGCACTGTAACCTACTGACTCAGAAGACAGCTGATCTGCAACATTGAAGAACAGTAGGGTACATGAGTGCATGCATGCTTCTGTGTGTGTGTGTGTGTGTGTGTGTGTGTGTGTGTGTGTACATGCACGCGCTGCTATAGATGGAAACCCAGGACCTCATTATGCATGCTAGGCAAGCACCCTGCTACTGAGCTACATACATCCTCAGGCAAACACTAAAGACTTTTGATAAGACACAACCACTGGGATTCTAGACCAGGCTCAGTGATATATGCCTGATGTCTTAGCTACCTAGGAGGCTGTAGGTGGGAAAATTGTAATCTGAGGCCAATTCTGGGAAAAATACAAGACCTACTAAACTTGGTGGCTCAAGCCTGTAATCCTAGCTACTTGGGAAGTTGAGATCATCTGGGCAAAAACTTCATGAGGTTCCATAACCACCAATGGCAATCTGGATGTGGTAGTACATGACTTTCATCCCAGATATGCAAGAAGCATAAATAAGAGGATGGATGGTGATCTAGGCTGGCCTGGGCAAAAGTTCAAATGTTCAAAAGTTCACAAGCTGTTCAAATGATAACAAGAGCAAAAAGGGATGGGGGCCTGGCTCAGGTGGTACAACTCTTGCCTAGCAAGAGTTTAAACCTTCATATGGGGGTTGAGAGGATAGATAATAGATACAAAAATGAAAGCTAAATAATAGATTATAGACACATAGATACTTAGCTGATAGATAGATGATAGACAATCGATTATAGATAGAAAATAGAGTATAGATTGACACACAGATGCTAGATCAACGGATAAGAATAATGGTGTCCTAATCCCTGCCTGTCATCATTACAAAATTCTAATAGATTCCCATGAAAACTTCAGAGAGACATTTAATAAAGAAATAAAACAGCAATTTCCCAGGTGATGTTGTGAAAGAGACCCTGCAAACAGAGCCATGGTCCTCAGGACTTAGTGTTTCCAGTCTGAACTGTGTGCCCAGTCCCAGCAAGTTCCTCTCTGTGTGTGCTGGCTTCTAGCTGGAGCCTCAGAGGACATACCAGTCACAAAGTTGGCAAGATGCTGGCTTGCAAATTCCGGCCTGCAGTCAGCTGGGCTCCTGGGGCGCTGTGGGTACCCCCTGCCTGAGGAACAGAGATAGAGAAGCTGAGCTGTGTTGTCATCTGCCCCCTCTTAAATTGTGAAGCTGAGGTACAGGGAGGAATCCTCCATCACCATGTTGGCATCTGCACCTGCCTTGCCCAACTTCTAGAGATCAAATGCCAACCTTCACTTGGCTTACCTTCAGTTGGGGACCAACACAGTGCCTTGTAACTGATTAATGATTGTTTTGGGGTTTTTCTGGCAAGGATTTGTTTTCAAATGTAGTTTCTGATTCATTTATTTATAGATCTTTAGTTTTAAAATACATTTATTCCCATCACCCTCTGGGAGCCTGCCTTTTTTCCCCCTCTTTGAGGTGCTCCTGTGTGGCTTGGTGAAATAGGTCCTTTACCTGGAAAACATCCTGAGACCCTTTGTTGAGATACTCATTAAGGGCTGAGAAGGTAGCTCAATGGTAGAGTGCTTTCATAATCTTTTTGTTCCAGTTTTGAGGCTTGAACCAGATCTTGAACTCTTGCTTGACTTTTCGTTTACACTCCAGGCTTGTGCTCTACCATTTGAGCCACACCTTCACTTTCAGCTTTTTGCTGGTTTATTGGAAATAGGCTCACAGACGGTTCTGCTTGTGTTGGCTTTGAGCCTCAATCCTCCAATGTCATTCTCCCAAGTAGCTTGGATTACAGATGTGAGCCTCTGGTGTCCGGCTGTTGAGGGTTTTTTTTTTTTTTAAGTATATATGAGGCCCCAAATTTGACCCTTATCACTACAAAATATAAGTACATAAAAATAAGATTAAAAAAAAAGAAAACATTTTGCTGGTCAGATTTGTAGTGGTGCGGGAGGAGGAGGAGGCCAGGTCACTGCTTCATTGGGTGGGCATGTGGCCTGGCCTCTGGGTCCTCTCAGGGGCTAAGTAGGGAAACCTTCACTTACAGAGAAAAGCAAATTGGCAGGATCGTAGTTTGCACAGACAAGTCAGCTCCCTGGGTGAGCAGCACTGGACCCTCCTGCCGGCCTGCACCCATCCCTCCCCAGCCCTGACATTAAGGGTCTTCTCCTTCTCCCTCAGGTCACTGGGCTGTTGTGAGGGAAGGTCTCACCAACCCTTGGATTCCGGACAACTGGTCCTGGGGAGGCGTGGCTTCTGAGCACTGCCCCGTGCTGGCCGAGTTTTACATGGAGAAGGACTGGAACAAGAAGGAAGGCCCCCGGAATGGCAGCGCCGTCACCCTGGAGCGAGGAGAAGCCAGCATTAAGCATGAACGATGACAAAGGCAGATCCATGTTAGAGCTGGCTCTGAACCCAGAACAGGAACGAGCCTTTCTGGGTGAAGGTTTGGGGCCTTCTAATCTGGGAGGGCCTCGGCCCACACCCTCCACTGTGGACACTTCAGGGCACTTGAGGAGCACGCTGGGTGCTAACTGTGCCATGTGGCTAAGCAGAACCCAAGGGGCACCAGTGTGTCTTGACTCTGGACGGTCTGATCAGCATGGTGGGTCTAGGTGGCTGCTGTCTGCATGGGACCTGAAAACAGAGGCAGGGTTGGGGGAGATAGAGAGATGGGGAGATGGCCTGGACTGCCTGAGCTCCCATTTTATTCTGGTCCCCAGGCTGCTTGAGAGAGCTACAAGTGTGATGAGCACTCTTTCCAAAACTTCAACTGGTGATATTTTTTTTTTAGCTTTGTTTTGAGAAAGAATAAACCTGTTCACCTGCCTGGCTGCATGTGGGTGTGGTAGGTTCTCCACCATTGTCAGATCTGACCTCCCCCCATCCCCCCCTCGCTGCCTCATGCCTTCCCATTCCTGCCAATGACACCCCCATCCCCAAGCCTGGCACCCATGAGCTCATTCTGCCCTTTCCACCCCCTTTCTCCCTGCAGCACCATTGGTGCTTCTGGGTTCTTGGGGTAGGACACTCCCTCCAACCTGCCCACGGCTTTCCCAGCAGATTCCCAACCCAGAATTCAGAGAAAAAAAAAACAACAACCAAAACAAGTTGTGTCCCCACTGAACATACACAGATTTGATGTCCTATTTTTATTGCTTGAATCATACAGAAGAAGGACTATTTATGTGATCTCACATAAATGTGTCTATGTGCCATCTCCAGATGCTTTTGTCAGGTTGGGGAACACCCAGGCCATGAGTCTGAGGCTTTCAACGTGGTTTGGTACATGGTAGAACGGACACTTGTGTTCTTCTTCTTGTATGACTCTTCTTGGCTGCCCCTGGCCTGTGTTGATCGCTCTGAATGGCCCCAGAAGGATGTGCCAAATATCCCAACAGCCCTCGGCAGAAAGGAAGTTTAGCCTCCTTCCCCCAACTCCAAGCAACCTTGGTTCTCTCCCAGCTTTACCTTTTTCAGAGACCTATCATTAGCATCATATAATGGTCTTCCGACTTCTTCCATTAGGAACACATGCTAGAAATTCCTCTGTGTCTCTGTGACCCCACAGCTCATTTTCCTGGCTGAATAATGTTCTCTTTCATGAAACTGATCTCTTCTGGATTGTTTCTGCAGCCTGGCCCTTCTCCCCAGCCATTCTCCTCCATTCCCAGCACACCATTTTCATTTCCTCCCCTTCTTCCTCATACTTTCCTTTTGCTTTTCTTCCAGTCCTTTCAGGTCATTCACGGAGGTGCCTCACTGTGAAGAGGTTTCTGGGAGGTGCCAAGGGGAGTACCTAGAGAGGGAGAGTTGTTGGAAAGGGGTGAGAGGCTGAGGAAGCTCCCACAGGCCCCAGGTGCTGGCCAGGTGCCTTCTCCCAGTCCTTCCTACCACGGGGCGTCATGGGGGTAGCAACCCCTTCCTTCGTTCTAGAACAATCTGAGATAATGTGGGGTTCCCTGTGTGTGGTTAGTGGCTCATAGCCATCATTGGCAGTGCTTCCGGCACCAGCCTCAATTCTTTATGAAGTGACTACAGGGGGCATCAGGGTACCCTCCAAGCCACCTGCTGGGGGTGGCTCCCCAGTTGCTCTGGGGTGACTGGGAGAAGGAAGAGTAACCCTCCATAGAGGATGGCCCTTTTCAGGGGATAACCAGTATCATCTTCTGCTTGAGTTTCTCTGGTTCTAACCCAGTTCTCCTCCCATGCATAGTGGTAGGCGGAATCCCAACACCTGGCTTTTCAGCTGTAGTCTGCCAGGTGGTCCCCTATGCACAGTCTATGCTGCCTCAGGAATGAAGGAGAGGTAGACACACCCACCAAGGCTGCTACCAGGTTGGGTTTTTGGTGGAATGAATGACTTGGGGACCTCCACACACTCACCTTGATCTAAGATTATTTTCCAATAAAATTTGCCTGTGTTGATGCAATGTAAATTTCCTGAGACAAAATGAGACAGAACAGCCCCTACAGCAGAGGGTGCCAGAGAAGAGTGGGTGAGTGACTCCCACCCAGGCTGCTTGGGGCAGGGTCTCCTGACATTTCTGAAATACCCCAGGCCCAGTTGTCTGCTCCTCACAGACTTAGTGGGTCTCTGTGGCAAACATGACTGAGCATGGTTATAACCTGCTGCAGTCCAGGGCACCTGCCATGCTGCCCAAACAGGCCCCAGTGAGTGAATTCAGGAAGGTATTCCAGCCTGTGGTAGAGGTCACGGCCAGGGAGGATCACAGGGCCTGGCACTGCTTGGAAAGAAGCCAGCAAGGGTGGTTTCTCCTGGCTGCATCATTAGAGACATCCTGCATTTTACCTTATGCCCAGATGCTTTCAGGACATACAGCACCATATGACCAGGGGCCTCAAGAAAGTGGGCTCCACCTCCAGTACAAGATTACACATGGGGCTAGGAAGTGGCTCAGTGGTAGAGTGCTTGCCTTGCATGCCTGAGGCTCTGGGTTCGATTCCTCAGCACCACATAAGCAAAAAGAAAAGAAGCCGGAAGTGGCGCTGTGGCTCAAGTGGTAGAGTGCTAGCCTTGAGCTGAAGAGCTGAGGGACAGCGCCCAGGCCCAGAGTTCAGGCCCCACGACCGGACCCCCCCCAAAAAAAAAGATTACACACACACAAACAGAAAAACCTGCAGTGGACCTGACGTTGGACCTGAGGGTCCAATTTTGGAGAGAGCTTAGTACTTGACAACGAACTACACCCTCAACAAGGACAGAAAATGGACTGCTGAGGCCTTAGTTTTCATTACTGCCTTGGTGATTTGAGTTGGTTTTGTGGGGTTTGTTTTGTTGCTTTATTGTAAATGATTACTTTCCCTTTTCCTTTTTTATTTTTTTCGGGGGGGTCCGGTTGTGGGGCCTGAACTCTGGGCCTGGACACTGTCCCTCAGCTCTTCAGCTCAAGGCTAGTGCTCTACCACTTGAGCCACAGCGCCACTTCCGGCTTTCTTTTTGCTTATGTGGTGCTGAGGAATCGAACCCAGGTCCTCATGCATGCAAGGCAAGCGCTCTACCACTAAGCCACCTTCCCAGCCCCCCTTTTCCTTTTTTCCTAACTGCTCTTACAAACCTTACCTTTCCCTTACCCTAGAACTCTCATCTAACTCCTGATATCACCCCCACCCTTGCAACTGTACTACCTCCACTGAGCACATTCTGTATCTGCACCCATCAACTCCTGCTCCATCCTGCCATCTTCCTTACCCCAAGTCCATCACCCTGTTGTCTTTCATAGCTTAGTTCTGATCCCTACAGTACGATATGAAACGGTAGCTTCCAGTGTCTAAGAAACTGAGGATGTAGAGATAATCACCAGTCGTATCCTATTGTAGGCAAATATTTCAGTTGTTTTGCAGAGATGAGATATGCCCCAAACCAGTGGTGTGAAGTGGCTCACAAACTTAATGAATTCTGTGAGGATGCAGAGAATAATCCATCAGGAGTATCTTTCAGGATCTGAGATCTCCAATTAGTCTGCAAATGACTAAAAACCAACACAGAAATAAATATGGGAAGCAAGGCATTGGTGGCCCAAGCATGTAATCCTTACTTTTCAGGAGGTTGAGATCTGAGGAAGTCCCTGTGAGATTCACATTTCCAGTTAACCACTCAAAAACTGGAAGTGGAGCTGTGGCTGTATGTGGAAGAGTGCTAACCTTGAGCAAAAGAGCTCAGGGACAGCACCCAAACCCTGAGAGTTCAAGCCCCACAACCAACAGAAAAAAAAATATGGGAAAACGGGCAAATATAATATCACTTCCAGAAACCAATGACAGGACAAAGGATTAGAATGAGGAGGAGGTAGAGGAGATCTCATATGAGTGGGAAGGAATATTGATAAGAACAAAAGACCCAGACCATTTTGCCTGTGATCAACTCTTGGACCAATAGTTTATTTTAAGTTTGTTGAGAAACAAAACAAACTTTATTAGAAACCCTCTCCAAGGTCCCAGAAAAGCAGTCTGTCTGTACCAGATGGGAGTGAAGAGACCCTGGACTCCAGGCAGGCTTTGGGCAGCGTAAGAGGCATTCAGGGCCAGCGCCATGGGGTTGACTGCTTCTCTCCTTCTACAGGTCAGCTGCAGGAAGAGAGGTGAGGATGAAACTCAGGTCTGAACTTCACACAGTGATAACAAGTGACTCTGGACCCACAACATGGGAGTCATGAGCCCTCCCATCTCAAACTCTGCCCCCGTAGACTCCCCTCCCACTCCCTCCTACTCTTCCCCACTGGTAACCACAGGTAAAAAGGACTTCATTAAATCATAGGCAAATAAAGCACAGAGCCCAGCTCCATGTCCACCTACGAGGGCCCCAGACCGTGGTTTCTGTCCTCTCCTCTTCCGGGACTGGCTGGCTGGGCAGATCGGTTCTTGGCAAATGGATGGCGGCGGCAGCAGAGTTGTCTTAGGCATTTGACGGTCCTCCTCTTCATGTTCCTCCAGCCCCGGGCTGTGGTCCCCGGTTGGGGCTGTAGTCAAACACGGGCTTGACCGGAGGGGAGGGAGGGTTCCACTGCTGCTGGCTCCATCTCCCTCTTGGCGCCCCTTGTGAAAGGGACACCGGAGATAGAGGGGGCAGATGCAGATTTGATGTATTTCCTGCTGCCCTCCAGCCTCTCGTGCTTAGCGGGCAGGAAGGTGGCGGGGTGACACGCAGGAGCGCTTACTGTCTTTGGGAGAACAATGGAGAAGGATGGATCTACAGGTGAGGGGCAAGGCGGAGGCCCAGGAAGCGGGTGCCTCCCATGGCAGCTGCGACCCCAGTCCTCCTGGTCCCGCTGCTGCAGCAGGATCAGGTAAGTGCCCATGGCAGCATTAAAAGTTCTGCCTAACAGGGCATCCCGGACCTCCTCTGGGTTGTACCCCAGGTATGTCATAACCCTGATAATGCTTGCATCTGGCTGTTCTGGGGGTGTCCTACTGGGCTGTGGGGATGCTGGCTCCATCTGTCTGAGCCAGCGGTGGCCCAGCACTTGCTCTAGTGTGGGCCTCCGCTCAGGGTCAACCGTAAGTAACTGAGTGAGGAGGTTTTGCAGCTCTGGGGAGATGTGGGGTGGAATCCGGCACCTGCCACTCAGGACCTGCTTCTGCAGCTTCCCCCATGTCCCGGCTCTAAACGGGAGATAGCCCACCACCATGCAATACAGCAGCACGCCCAGGCTCCACACGTCCACTTTATGGCCATCATAACTTTGCTGCTGGAACAGCTCGGGCGCCCAGAAGGGTAACGTGCCACACGCCTTGTCCAGCTCCTCCCCCAGCATGACCCTCGTGCCGAGCCCAAAGTCGCACACCTTCACGGTGCCCCTTGTGTCCAACAAGACGTTCTCTAGTTTGAGGTCCCTGTGGGCAATGCCACTCTCGTGGCAGTAGTGCATGGCACTCACGATCTGCCTGAACACGGGCCGGGCCTCCTCCTCCTGCAGCTTGAGTACTTGCAAGACATGCCTCAGTAGATCACCCCCACCCGGGTACTCCATCACCAAGTATACTCGCTCTTCTGTTTCCATGACATGAAATAGCTTGACCACATTTGGATGGTCCACAGACTTCATGATATCCACCTCACTGGTAATGAAGGGGTTGTCCCTCTTCTCTAAGACTTTCACGGCCACCAGGGCATCTGTGAGGAGATGTTTGGCCAATTTGACATGGCCAAAACTCCCCTGACCTATGGTCCTCAGGACCCGGTACTGAGCCCCGAGGAGCTCCTCATCTGAAGAGCTCCTACTGAGGTCTTGTACTGCTATCTCCTCACAACCCTCACTCACCATCCTAGGGAGCAGTGCTACAGATGAACTAAAAAAAAAAAAGAGGGGGGAGAAGGGAGAGGGGAATAAGAAAGTCAACTCCCAAGCCACCAAATCCACAGACACAGCAAATAATCTAGCAATGGGAATCCAAAGATCACTAACGAAGATCTCCCTGAAATGATGGGAAAAATTCCAGCGCAGGCTGCTGCTATTCCTACTGCTTGTTGTTCCCTCACTGTGGCTTCTGTAAGAACGAGGCAATAAAGGGATCCAAGACTAGGCCTTGTCCACAGGGCACCGAAAGATCCTTTCATGGGTGTGTAGCCAATGGGGCTCAAAACTCAGGACCTAGACACAGCCCCTTAGCTTTCTTTGCCCAGTGTTAGGGGTTTGCCCAAAATGGAGTCACACTTGCATCTGTTTAGTCTTCATCTTTTGGGCAGTCAATAGGATATAAAGAGTCTCATGGGCTTTCCTCCCGAGGCTTATTCAGAACACCAATCCTTTGTCCTTAGAGCAGATTCTTTTCCAGATAGCTCAGTATCCTAGTACATCTAGGTGGTAAGAAGGTCACCAGGTGCTGTGTACAATTCCACGGAGGGCCAGACACACCCCAGCCCAGGCATTTGACCTCTGCTCAGCCCATCTCAGAGCTTCTGGTCCTGGAATCTGGCACATTTCCTCCTGAACAACCCTTGGTGATCACTTCATGGTCTCACCTCTTTCTCTGCCAGGGTGCTCAGCATGGTGGAAGGTCACTCTGGGCCCTTGTGTGCTCTCAGGCTGGGCCCTGCTGGGGTCACTCGTGGCACATGGAGGCTGGGTCCAGGACAGCCACACCGTGTCCAAGCACCCTGGGAGACAAACACTGGAGAGCAAGTCAACCCTCACAGCTGCGAGGCTCACAGACAAGTGCCACACACCTGGGCTCCTTCGGGGGCTGAGCACCATTCCTGCCCTTGGGGGTTAGAGTGGATTAGAGCCCTGCTTTTCTGAAGAGGATGGTGGATAGAGGGCTGAAAATGATGAAGATGTAACCCAGGGACACATTTGGTGAAGATCAAAACATGTGTGTGAAAGGAACTACATAACCCCGTGAAGGCATGTCTGTTGGACATCGAAGGCTTTTCTGGTTGAGGAGTTAGGCTGGGTCATTGTCGAGTCAGGTTGAGCCAGCGATGTTCTCTAGCTGAGTCCTCTCCACTCAGGGAAACAACCAGAATATCACAGGCTTTTGTAATCCCCAAAGGCTTGTAGTGAGGGTTGTTTATGGTACTGGGATGAAACCAGAGCCTCACCCATGTGAAGCAGGCCCTCTAATGCCATTTCACTTCTCTCTCTCTAATGTGCTTTCTTACCCAGGACTCAAGAGCCCCTTTGGGGAAGGCAAAGCAGGAGGCAGCCAGTGTCTTGAAGATGAGGACACTGAATCCAAGGACACATGACTGCCACCCTCTGGGGTCCTCCAGGTCTCCCAAAGGCATAGGAGGGATCTCAGAATGCTCAGGAAGGCAGTCCGTTAACTGACAAATAACTGTCAGGCCAGTGACCTAAAATGCAGCTTAGACCATACCAAGGGCAGGGCTGATTTGACCCAGCTCCCATGCAGGTGCAGACTCTGAGCTGAGTGAGGACAGACTCCAGGCACTGGGTGACCTGGTAGCAGGATGTAGCCTGGCCTTGTCAGGGTCCTGGCAGTCTACAGCTCTTCAATCTGGAGCAGGGTCCTCAGTGGGAAAAAACAGGCGGCAGGGAATGGGTGACTCACTGGAGGTGATGTGGCTCTGGAAACCACAGACAAGGGCTGAGCAGGAGAAAAGGACTCATCAAATCATAGAGATAAAACCCAGAGCCCAGCTCTGTGCTCAACTGCATGCTCTGCAGAGTTGAGTGCTGTTCTTTCCTGTCCCGGATGGGCTCTGAGACATGTGTTCTTTGAGAAAGGAAGAAAGCAGCAGCTGGGGCCTCTTAGGCATGTGACAATCCTTCTCTTCGTGCTTCTCCAAACCCTGATGTGGTCAAGGATTGGGACATTGGCCAAAACACTGGCTTGACTAGAGGTTTCTCTGCTGCTGGCTCCTGGGGAGGTGACTTGCTCTCCTCTTCCTCAGGGACCTGGGTGCAGGGGACAGAGAGGAGGCAGAGCATAGAGATGAAGATGATGCTTTTGGCTCATTCCTTCTGCCCCTCATGCAGTGGACAGGCATCCCACAGGATGCCTGGTCCACAAGATGGTTTTTGTCTTTGTTTTTTCATACCAGTGGAGGTTCAGGCCCCTGAGGGTGAGGGACAAGGAATTGGGCACCTCACTTTGTTGATGGGGTCAGCCTTAACATTGCCCAGAGTTGGATCGAACCTTCGGCCCATCAGTGTTTGCTGGACTACTTCTGATGTCTACCCTCAAAAAGCCATCACCTAGATTCTGTCATGTTTGAGCTTGCGATACACTCTGGGTATATCCGTCACAGATGTTGGGTACCTGCCTCAGCAAGGGCCTGTGCTCAGGTTTATACTGAGGAGGAAGGCCAGCAGGTTTTCACTGTCTTCTGACAGTTGTCTTCTGAACATGAAGCAGCCCTTGCATGCCTGGCCTTGGAACCTGCTCCAGGTGCTCCCTCTGAATGGGAACTGGCCTGTTACCATACCATAGTAGTGCTCCTGCAGAAACTCCTTGGGGACCCAGAAGTATATACTGCCATATGGGATGTCAAAGCAAGCACCACGCCCATTTCGACATGATCCCTTAGGTCCCTATGAGCAATGCCGCTTTGATGACAGTACTTCATGGCTGTAATCACTTGACAAAAATCTGCCTGGGCTTCGTCGTCTCTCGTCATAGCTGCTTACTTTATGAGGCTGAGCAAATATCCATGTGATTTTTCTCCAAACCCTCCAAAAGTGATTTTTCTCTTCAGGAGTTGGGACATTGCTTTCTCTGCTGCTGGGTTTAGTGGGATGGATTGTAGTCTTCCTTCTCTTTAGGGGCCTGGATGAGGGGGTGGGAGGGGTAGAGATGTAGCAGAGCTCAGAGGCACAGATGGCACCCTTGCTGACTACCTCCTGCCCCTCCAACTCAGCTCCGATGTTTTTCTGGTAACAGTCCAGGACCAGGCCCCTGCAGGTTAGAAGCAGGGCAGGAGGCCCAAAGAGTGAGTACCTCATCCGTCTGGAGGTGTTGCCTTCCTAGTCCTTCTGATGATGTAGTGTTTTGTTAGTTCTCATGCTCCCATTGGAACCTGCCAAGAGGTCTACTCTGCTAGGCTGGGTCCATACATCATTACCCTCTTATTTCAGGACCCACTGGTCCAGGGGGTGTGGCTCTGTGGTGAGCCTGACTTGCTCTTTGGCCCCAGCTGTACGTGCAACTGCCCTAAATGAGGGTCTGCCATCTGGGACTTTTGTCAGTAAGAAGCCAGCAGGCTTCTGATCTCACACAGAGGAAACAACCAAACAGAGGAAACAGCCTTTAAACTGTTAAGAGCTGAGATGCAGGCAGGCGCCGCTTGCACAGAAGTGTAACCTGGGCCCCAGCTCCAAGCCAGAACTG